ACAAGACACTTGTAATGTCTGGATAGAAAGGGGAAAGCACTTGTAGTAAATACACGCACTTGTTAATTTGCCATTTTTTTCACTTTGCCGGTGAAAGTCTTGTGTGACAATGAAATTCTCCTACAAGTAATCCATGAGAAAGCAACTGGAAACATTTTGAAGTCTGAGCTGGAGAAAAGAGTTGGCAAAATTATGGACTGTGAATAAATTACCTGACCTGTTTAGCCTTTCTTCTGCTTGAACCATTTGTGAATGATTTTTTTATTAATACATTTGCTATTCCTAATAGTTTTAAAAATTTGAGGGAAGAAATATTGAGGTGTTTTTTCCTTTGCTAATCAGTGTGAGAGAGATTAGCAAACCATTCAATATTGGTTCTTTCTCTTTCTAAGATGTCTGAAACAGGGAAATTGTGAGTAGTGATTTATTCATGCGTGAATTTTCTTATTCATGTGAAAATATGGCAGTTTGGACACAGAAGAACCAGCACCCTATTTACTTGCACTTTTAATCTTAGCCTTGTCTGTGCCCTTTTATGTATTAAGTTCCTTGTGCTTAGTTTTCAAGGATTTAAACTATAGCTATGATTCTTTGCCTTCTGCACTTCCCCATTCCATTATAACAGTGCCAACCTTTACACTTCTTTTTGTTCCTGTAATGGACCCATCTTTGTGACGTCTTTTCTGTTCCTCTTGTATAGGACATCTTCCAAAACATGTTTACTAAGCCACCTCCCTTGCCCCATTATAGTCCCGCTGAAATATTTATTTCTGCCATCTTGTCTGCATGAACTATGGTAAACAAGAAAACACTGTGAGATTTTACTCTAACATTTGTACCCTCCTCTCTTTTTGCCCCTTCTGACTCTCGCCTGCTATGTTCTGTCGAATTCAGACTGTCAGACAGTATCCTAATGTGTTTCAGGAAGCACCTTCTATTTTTCTGAGTGCTGAAAAAAATAAGATATTTACAAAACATTGTTGAAGCTCAAACCCATTTAGGAGCAGCATGTAAAATGTGACAGAAACAGGAGCCATGATTTCCACCAAACATTTTTTATCATGTTCACTGAGGTAAGACAGAACGCAGCATTAAAAAAGAGTAGTTGAGCACATTCTGTACATATAGAGCTAACTCTCTAGCTGATGTAAGTGGATCGCCATTGATTTCCACCGAACTGTGCTCATTTTACATCCAACTCAATCAGGCCAATGATTCCACATGATCTCCATGTTTATCAGCATGTGGCCCAGGGACCACCGTTGACCCTCAAAACCTGCCTCATAATCTGCACAATTGATTCTCAGTTTATCTAAACTATTGTGGTTGAGTTAGTGGAAGGCAACTGTAACTAAACTTGTATATCGTAGGAAGTGTTCCAAAAAGAAAGCGTTTGGTTAACCCCCTCTCCCACACACCGCCCCTCTGCATGGCTTGAGTCGGGGGGCTAATTCTCCCCCTCCATTCCCTGAGGCATCACAGAAAGGCAGCCTAGCATCATTTGGACAGATGCCAACCCATTGGTGCTGTTTCCTAGCTGGTTAGGTTGCCCATTCATAGGAGGGGTCAGGGTGTGTGTAGAGAGGGAGGAAGGGGGATAGGGTGTTTGTGGGAATGGGCAGTGCAGTAAAGTGGTATGGTGGGGGTGAGGGGGATATAGGCATGGAGGCAGGGGGATGGGCAGTGTGGGAGTTAAGAGGAGGAGGGGTTAGGGAGGATGGGTAGGTGTAGGAATGGAGGCAGGGGGTGGGGGGCAGGCATAGAAGGAGGGGAGTGGGCAGAGTGGGGAGGGGGAGCGGTTAGGAATGATGGAGGGTGTAGGAATGGAGGCTGGAGGTGGGGGTAGGAATGGAAGGAGGGGGGTGGCCTGTGGGCCATGGAGCTCCCCTCCCCACTGCAGAGCACACGCTTCTCCACAAGCCGAATCCAGTGCGGAGCCTCGGGATTTCCTCCTTTCTCCACTCCCTCGCAGGAAGCCAGTGCTGGCGCTGTAATCTTGTGGAGGGTGGGGGTGTTCAAGGTCGGAGGGATGGGCAGGAGGTGGTCCACGTGCTTGGCAGGTGGAGGCGGTGGTTCCCCACTAGGTTCCGGAGCATAAGGGCCCTGGAGCGCAGCAAGGAGTTGCTGGTTCCACCCCCCTACTGCTCTTGGCTCAGCCCTGGCCCTCCACCAATGGCTGGATGGGGGCCAGGAGATCAGAGCCATGACTGGGAAAAGGGTCAGAGGGGCTGGAGTCCAGAGGCTGGGGGGGAGCCAAGAGTCTGGGGCTGGACCGGCCTCCAGACCTTCCCTCCCGAGGGGCCAATGGCCTGCCTACTCCCAGAGATGAGGGTTTGGTGAGCATAGTGAGGAGAGGGCACGGTCCTCTAGTATTTTGGTAATTTCAATTCAAATGCTACTTTTCAACACAGCATTTCAGATTTCAGTGAGCATGGAGGCCCCTTGTGAAACATATTCAAAACCACGCTTTTTCACTTGATTTTGTGTAAAATCCACAGATTTCTTCATGGCTTTCATGCAAACAAATCAATTGGTCCAGTTTAGCATCTTCCACTCAATATTTTTTTTATCACAAACTCAAGTCAAAGCTCAGTCCCAAAAGAGATCAGGCTGAGTTAGCTACAGGTTTTACTGCAAACATTATGCCTAGCTCAAACTGTCGGTAAGGAAGTTAAGCAAGTCAAGGAAGTATGGATTGGTAAATGAACTGTAAGGTGTATAGAAAACTGGCTAGACTGTCCGGCCCAATGGGTAGTGATCAACAGGTTAATGTCTGCTTGGTGGTCGGTTTCAAGCGGAGTGCCCCAAGAATCGGTTCTAGGGCTGGTTTTGTTCAACAGCTTTATTAATTACCTGCATGAGGGGTTGGATTGCTCCCTCAACAAGTTTGCAGAGGACACTAAGCTAGGATGAGAGGTAGATACGTTGGAGGGTAGAGATAGGGTCCAGAGTGACCTAGAAAAATTGGAGAATTGGCCCAAAAGAAATCTGATTAGGTCCAACAAGGATAAGTGCAGAGTTCTGCACTTGGGATAAAAGAATCCCAAGCACTGTTACAAGCTGGGGACAGAGTGGCTAAGCAGCAGTTCAGTAGAAAAGGACCTGGGGATAACAGTGAAAGAGAAGCTGGATATGAGTTAACAGTGTGCCCTTGTAGCCAAGATGGCTAATGGCATATTAGGGTGCATTAGGAGGAGCATTGCTGGCGGATCTTTAGAAGTGATTATTCCCCTTTATTCAGCACTGGTGAGGCCACATCTGGAGTACTGCATCAACTCCCCCATTACAGAAAGGATGTGGATGCATTGGAGAAAGTCCAGTGGAGGGCAAAGAAAATGATTAGGGGGCTGGAGTACACGTCCCATGAGGAAAGGCTGAGGGATTTGGGCTTATTTAGTCTGCAGAAGAGAAGAGTGAGGGGAGATTTGATAGCAGCCTTCAACTTCCTGAAGGGAGGTTCCAAAGAGGATGGAGAGAGTCTGTTCACAGTAGTGACGGATGGCAGAACAAGGAGCAATGGTCTTAAGTTACAGTGGGGGAGGTCTAAGTTGGATATTAGGAAAAACTATTTCACTAGGAGGGTGGTGAAGCACTGGAATGGGTTCCCTAGGGAGGCGGTGGAATCTTCATCCCTAGAGGTTTTTAAGTCCCACCTTGACAAAGCCCTGGCTAGGATGATTTAGTTGGGGTTAGTCCTGGTTTAGGCAGGGGGCTGGACTTGATGACCTTCTGAGATCTCTTCCAGCCCTATGATTCTATGATTCTATGCTGGTTTTCACAATCTCACGGTCATGGTTGGTGCCATTGGGCTTGTACCCTGTGATGATCCATTTTCTTTGGAAGGATGAGTAGTGAAGACAACTGCATTTGTGTCTGACATTGATTGGGGCAAACGTGTTTGTGACTATAGTTGAGAAAATGTTGGGGAGCCCAGCAGTTTCCAAAGTCTGCTTTGCCCCTAAAATCTAATCAGTAACGTGCCTAAGAAGCTCACACGCATAGAGTATGCTGTCACCAGACCTAGTAACAGACTTCACTGGGCCCTGGGCAATGTGTGTGGGGGGATGGGGGTGGGAGGAGGACCTTGGCTCCAGACCCCCTGGAAGGGGCAAGACAGAAGGGGTGGGGCTAGGGGCAGCAAGCCCTCATCACTACACAGACTTTCCAGTGATGATCTAAAGGCCTTGAGGCTTTAGCTTGACAGCGGCCTAGAGCCCAGGCACTGTTCAATTGCTGAGCTCCTGGATAATTGCTGTCTTTGCCCCTTTTCCCCCCACATTAGCAGCCCTGGCTGTCACTCATCAGACCCATCCAACTCACTACAGCCAAGATTCTGTTGTCATTGTATTTATCCAAAAAGCGTTGTACAGGGTATTATATAAAAACTAACGGCATGCTGAGTATTGATACAACTGAAAAAATTCATATGTTAATGTTCTATGTGAAGTTATAAATTCCCTCTGAATGACATAATTAAAACGGCTACGTCTACACTGGCCCCTTTTCCGGAAGGGGCATGTAAATTTCACCAGTCGTCGTAGGGAAATCCGCGGGGGATTTAAATATCCCCCGCGGCATTTAAATAAAAATGTCCGCCGCTTTTTTCCGGCTTTTAAAAAAGCCGGAAAAGAGCGTCTACACTGGCCCCGATCCTCCGGAAAAAGTGCCCTTTTCCGGAGGGTCTTATTCCTACTTCAAAGATCCGCCAGTGTAGACGTAGCCAACATGTTTAGGACCAGACAGTTTAGCTTAAGTGAAGGCACACATCTGGTCTGTCCTAAATACAAGAACGTGGGTTTTCCTCAATTTACATATTAGCAGTAAACAATGCCATGGAGCTAAGCCAGCCGTGGTTATCCTGATCCGGCACTTATGAGCCATTATTAACATGGCTCCTGCCCCAGAGAGCACAAGAGACTGAATCCCCTGGAAATCTTCCTGACTTGTCAGACAGATAGTCCCTTTGGGGATATGAGGATTTCTTTTATTCTTTACCTTAGCAGACAAAGAAACCAAGCAATCTGATCTCCGTGATGGATCCAGGCAGAAAATCTGGAAAGGAAATGTGAGTGAGAGAAACCAGCTTCAACCAGAAGTGTATAAGGTCAAGTTATGGTCTTTTAGAAGCATATTTTCACTTTTATTTCCCTGTAACAATCTCTACCTTTATCCTTTTTACTTGGTATCACTTAATCCTTGTTCTTTGCTGTCATTATAAATCATCTGTGCTATGTTAGTTGAGTAACTGTGTGCTTCCAGAAAGCTAAGCAGTTGAACTGGTTTACTGTCGTTATAGAGGCAGCGAATGTACTACTTTCTTTGCGAGTGTCCCGTGAGATCTGTACAGTAGGCTGATTTGGGGTTGACAGCGAATGTACTATTTTCTCTGCGAGTGTCCCATGAGATCTGTACAGTAGGCTGATTTGGGGTTGATTTGGGGCTGGAAGGTACTAAGTTCAGCCTGTAAAGACTAACCAAGTTGGGCATAGCCAGTGTAAGGCTAGTGGACTGCTGGCAAGTTGCCGGAGTCAGAGCTCTGACCCAAAGCTGAATAGTCAGAAGACACCCAGGATTACAAGATGAAAAGTGAACAAACCCATTACTGGCCTGGGGGAACCCCAAAATGTCACTAGTCAATAAGACATTAATAAAATATTCTACAAATATTTGGTAGTACTTCATTTGTGATGCTGTGACTCAATCACACCACGAAAAATTCCCCACCATGAAAAATTCCCCACCACTTCCTACTGTCTTGAAGATTCTCCCCCTTCCAGCAAGAGCTGGAAAGAATAAAACACCTGGATCCACTCTAGAAACACCAAAAATAACTTTGGATTCATACATGAGTCAAACTCCTGTGGCAGAATTTCAGTCAAAAAGTCTCCTTCAGGAAATGCTAGTTGTTTTGTTCAAATATTATCTTTCAGCAAAGACCAGGAGGTTAAAAACAAAAGGAAAAAGAGAACAAATTAAACACATCTTCCTTTGTGATTGAAATAAAAAACACTTTCGGAATGCACTTTGCATTGATTGACAGTAGATGCAGAGCAGACCTCTGAACCCCACCCCTCTGTGCTCAGAGCCTATAAATTTTCATGCTCCATTCCTCAGGAGCTCTCACAAGATGGGTACCATGATGATCTTCACTTCGATGTTTCTGTTAACTTCTGGAACTCTGCAGGCTACTACAGGTAAAATGCCTCCAATTCTTGCAAAGCAAAAATGCGAAGAGAACTTTTGCTCATTTTCACTGGGTCCACATCTAGAATGCCCAATCATGCCAATGGGAGCTTTGTGAAAAGATTGAAGGTAGTGTCTGTGTACGGCCACGCTGGTTAACACAGCTCCATTCTGTTGACAAAGAAGCTAGTTGATTGTAACTATTAGAGTAATTTAAATAAACTGCTTTATATGGTGATATTAATCTTGTTCCCAACACCCACTGTTTTGTGTTTAGTGGCCTGTATTAAAATTTAAATCAAGTCACTCAATATCCTGTCAATTAACAATTTAATGTCTCCAAATCTTGGTATTCAGGATATAAATTATGGAATGTGATTTCTCTTGTTAAAATACATAGTATAAATTATGGAGAAAATGTGATTTCTCTTGTTAAAATACATATTTATTGTAAAGTACTGCAAGAGTAACGCTTTCAGGTGCCCATTGAACCACCCAGCTAATATTTTATTAAAGATATTTTAACAAAATGTAAAAAGATAGAATTGTGAAATACCATAGTGTTCCTGGGGTAAATGAACTATTACACACAATTGTGCTGGCATCTTTCCCTTTGCGTGTGATTTTTTTCTCTCATTACCTTGTGGTGGGTTTGGTTAACCTGTTCAAAATGCTTGAACCGATGTATTCTAAACAATCCAGTAAAGCTGATGTTATGTAAGTTGGGGTTTTGTAACTGGAAATTGTGTGGGTAATTTTTGTAATTAGTACTTACGCTGCATTATAATTACTTCTAGTTACATTAGACCATTGGTTTGTAATGAGATATGTAAAGACTGCTATAGTTTGTGTTCATCCCTTCAGAGTATTTATAAATGATCATGTTAAAACCGGTGAGTTAGGATATATGTATGAACCCTAACTATAACTTTAAAGCAGGGCAACTTCTTCAGAACAAATTTGAAGTCTGGTTCCTTTCCTAACATAAAATATCCTTCCTAATCTACCAGCCATGGAATCTGAGCTGCCCCTGTGCTCCCTACAACACAGGTGGCTAGTCTCCCATGAATTCGAAGGTCTTCACTTAGCCACCTTTCTCTATTCTTTTTTTATTTTTCTCTCACTCCCCATCCTTTATTTCCACCTCTGGCTTTCTACATCTTTCCTCCACCAGCATACCTCAGATTCCTGCTTCTTCTAGCTTCTTCTTCTCTCAACTCTCTTTTCGACTGCCGAATCCTTCCTTCCCTGCTTTCCAGAGCCCAAGAGTGACTATTTGCACTGCTTTCTATGCATTATACCTTTGGCTTTTTCAGGCACCTCTGTATTTTTTGCATCTTTCATCCAGATAGCATTGAGTAGGTGTGTAGAATTAGATCCCTAACAGAAATCTTTAGTCAATGGCAAGAGAAGGAGACAGCAAACAGAGGTCCAACCATTAGTCCAGCAGTTAGGACACTAACCTGGACTGTGGTATGCCCTGGTTTAATTCTCCTTGCTGTCTGAACTGAAACAGGGATTTGGCTTTGTCTCCTATGTTGCAGGAGAGCGATATGGGTGTGGGACTCACTCATGCTCTTCTTTTGAAGCTGTTCCACTTTGTATCGAAAGTCAATAATTGGAACTTGAATTTGGGGGATCTGCTTTTCTGAGGGCATGCCCTACAATCAAGCTATTTGTAGAGCACTTTGAGTATGCAAGACACCATAAATGACCTCAGCATATTGCTATTATTATATGTATTTATTATACCTAGTTTTAAATTGTTTAGGCAGTTTTCTGAAGTTGCTAATGTGCAACCAAAGGCTGGATTTAGAGCTTGATTTGCTGTGCCTCTGCTCTCGTATATTATTGGTGATATCTACTGCAAATTAACATTCACCTGCTGGATAACATAATAGAAGGATCCACTATCATTACCATAAATGTTTTCTCTAATTGTGTCTTTGTCTTACTGCAGAAACCACCTCTTTCCCCCTAGCGAGCACCTCTCTAAATGGTAAGTGCTGTCTCATCTTATTTTAATAAAATTTATCTTTTATTGTGGGATTCAGCACCCCATCGACCTGATCATAAGAAGAGTCATAGTAGGTCAGATCATCTAGCTCCATAGTGGGCTATAACCAGCCTGCAAGCCAGATGCAGTTCACCAGGGTTAGCCCCTGGCGAGTAGTGGAGCCAGATGCAGTTCACCAGGGTTAGCCCCTGGCGGGCTGCCAGCGCTTTATGTTCCAGCACCACCACAGGTATGGCCGCTTGTTGCTCCTGTTCACTGCAGATTGCTGCTCCCGGTCAATGGGAGCTGTGGGAAGAGGTACAGACTGGGACACCACTTCTTGCAACTCCCATTGGCTGGGAGTGTCAAATGGCTGTACCTGTGGAGGCGCAGGTAAATAAAGTGATGGTGACCCACTCAGGACTAATCCTGGCAAGCTGCATCTGGCTTATTGTCCATTCCTGATCTAGTCCCAAGTCATGTCTTCAAACAGCGGCCAGATGCTTCAGAAGAAATGAACAGAACAGATCCATCCACTGTCATTCAGCCCCAGCTTTTGGCGGCTGGTGATGTAGGGACACCCAAGGGTTGTGTCCCTGACATGATTTGGCAAAGAGCCATTGATGGACCTTTCCTCCATGAACTTCTCATTTTTTGAATGCAGTTAAACTTTTGATCTTCATTCACAACATTCTACAGGTTAATCCTGTATTGGACGAGGAAGGACGTCTTCTTTTGGTTTGTTTTAACCTTGCTGCTAATTAATTTCATCTGGTGAGCAGAACACTAGTTTTTGTGTTACGTGTTACATCACCATACTCACATTCTTCATATTATTCATGATTGTATAGAACTCTATCGTTTACCCTTTTAGTCATCTCTTTTCTAAGATAAGGAGTCCCAACCTTTTAAATCTGCCCTTACATAGAAGCTGTTCTTCAGCTCCTACCCATTTGTTGCCCATCTCTGTACTTTTTCTAGTTCTAATACATCTAAAATGTATATTTAGAGATGGCATGACCAGAATTGCAAGCAGTATTCATGATTTTTTTTTTTTTACTGCCACTTCACATTGAGCAAAGATTTTCACAGAACTGACTCCAAGATCCCTTTCATGAGTGGTAACAGATAGTTTAATTGCCACTTTTTTGTATACTCACTTGGGATTACTTATTCAAATGTGTTTTTCCAGGGTTGACCTAGAGGTGTGGTTTGGCCACATAATCGTCACAGCAGTAAATTGTTGTTTTTTACATGAATTGGATACACCCCAGTTGCCACAGAGTTATGAAAAGGAACAAAACCACATCTCATATGCTAATAATAATTGCCTTGCTTCTAATTTAGGGCTGGCCTTGAGACTGGTGAATTCAGCTAGCAGATGTGAAGGTCGTGTGGAAGTCTATTATAAAGGATCCTGGGGGACAGTGTGTGATGATTCCTGGGATCTCAGTGACGCAAATGTTGTGTGCGGGCAGCTTGGATGTGGACATGCTGTTGAAGCAAAGGGCAGTGCCTATTTTGGTCAAGGCTCAGGAAATATTGTCCTGGATGATGTAAACTGCAGAGGATGGGAAAACAGTCTATGGGACTGCCTTCATGCAGGATGGCTCATTCATAACTGTGGTCATATTGAGGATGCTGGTGTTATTTGTTCAGGTAAATATCCAGAGTTTGCAGGTTTCTTGCAGGTTTATGATTGGCATGGAATATGCTTTTAACCATGTCTATGATGTTTTTGAAAGTCACATTGCCAAGGTTTCAATATACAGTTTTTCAGACTGAATCTTTTACCTACTTACTTAAGGTTACCATACAGCTTCGTTTTGCTGTTTGGGGAAGGGGTGGGGTATTTAAAAATAAGCAATGTCTGAGGTTTTAGAAAGCAGACAAGCTGCATTTTAGAAGGAGCTCTGATTGGTCCACTTCCTGATTAGGTCCCTCCCCTGAATCTGCAGCTGATTAGTCCATTGCCCTGCAAGCCAGAGCTAACAGATCTTGCCCACTCAGACTCCAGCTCTCTCCTGTAGGGAGGTGGTGATTGACAGCTGGGCTTGTGGCCAGGCATCATCATGACAGAGAGTGACACTCCTGAGTTGCACCAACTTACCAGCTCCCTCAGCTACACTCCCTTCAGTTCCCCATCTCCTACCCCTAGTTCCCACCTGGCAGTGTCCTCTTTTTGGGAACCTGAAATATGGTAACCCCACACATAAGAACAGAAGAATGGAACAGAAGAATGGCCATCCTGGGTTGGAACAAAGGTCCATCTAGCCCAGTAACCTGTCTTCTGATAGTGGCCAATGCAAGGAGCTCCAGAAAGAGGCTGTGTCTAGACTACAAAGAAAAGTTGGGAAAAGATACACAAATCGTGAACCGCAATTTGTGTCTTTTTCCACTTTTCTTCTGAAAGAGGCTTATCCAACATTTGGCCCATCTACCATGGACCAAATGTTGGAAAAAAAGACTCTTTCAAAACATCCCTTCTTCCTCATAGAATGAGGTTTACAGAGATGCCGAAAAAATGAGTCTGCTTTTCCGAAATTTTTTTTAGGAAAAGCAGATGCATTCCTTGGATGCGGCAGAGCGTTTCCGGGATACTGGAGATATCCCAGAAAATCTCTGCAGTCTAGACGTACCCAGAATGAATAGAATAGGGAATCATCAAGTTATCCATCTCCTCAAACATGGGCTCCATGCTTCACCCAGCCACTTCCTTGATGAATATGAAAAAAAAACCCAAAAAGCAAAACAAAATAAAATCCCATGGATGGCCAAGTAGTTATGGCATTTATTTAGGAGCACCTGTCAATATGGCTTAGTTTTCAGTTCTGTTAACCACACTTCCTGTGAAAGTTGGACTGGGGATGGAAATGCGATGGAGGAAATCTAGTGTTATGATTCATGATTCTGCCATGTCACTATGCCTCAGTTATACAAGTGAAATATGGATAATGAGACTAATGAAGTATTTAGATTCGCAGAGATGAAAGACTTATTCAAGTGTTAGACAATCTTTTGCCATCAGGAAAGGTAAAGTTTGGGGGAATATTTTCATTGACCTCAGTGGTAGTCAAGCATATTTGACAATATTTTATAATTACTCCTTAAAAGATATTATAAACATAGTGTTTTTGAAGTGTTGCTCTACTTGTTTGAAAACATGGCATCCTTCTAGAATGTCATGCAGCTTCCAATGCAATTTGCACTTAAAATGCTATTAATATATCCACATTAAAAATGATTTTTGGTTTGCATCAGAAACCAAATATTTGAAATTTTCACAATAAAAAAAGCTGAGAAAATAATGTTTAAAATAATTCAAAATATTTTATTTGAAAAAAAGTAACATTTTGATTTAATTTCTATTAGTTTAACCATTTTTTCCAAAATAAGCGAATTTTGAAACTAAAAGTTATTTAATACAAAATATTTCTTTGACATTTTAATAAAAACATTACATAAGAACATAAGAATAGCCATACTGGGTCAGACCAAAGGTCCATCTAGCCCAGTAGCCTGTCTTCTGACAGTGGCCAGCGCCAGGTGCCCCAGAGGAGGTGGACTGAAGACAATGATCAAGCAATTTGTCTCGTGCCATCCTTCTCCAGCCTCTGACAAACAGAGGTCAGGGACACCATTTCTATCCCCTGGCTAGTAGCCTTTTATGGACCTAACCTCCAGGAAATTATCTAGCTTCTCTTTAAACTCTGTTATAGTCCAAGCCTTCACAGCCTCCTCTGGCAAGGAGTTCCACAGGTTGACTACACGCTGTGTGAAGAAGAACTTTCTTTTATTAGTTTTAAATCTGCTACCCATTAATTTCATTTGGTGTCCTCTAGTTCTTCTATTATGGGAACTAATAAATAACTTTTCTTTATTCGCCCTCTCCACAACACTCATGATTTTATATACCTCTATCATATCCCCCCTCAGTTTCCTCTTTTCTAAACTGAAAAGTCCCAGTCGCTTTAGCCTCTCTTCATATGGGACCCATTCCAAACCTCTAATTTATTTTAGTTGCCCTTTTCTGAACTCTTTCCACAGCCAAAATACCTTGTTTGAGATGAGGAGACCACATCTGTACACAGTATTCAAGATGTGGGCGTACCATAGTTTTATACAGGGGCAGTAAGATATTCTGTGTCTTATTTTCTATCCCTTTCTTAATAATTCCTTACATCATATTTGCGTTTTTGACCGCTGCTGAACACTGTGTGGAAGTTTTCAGAGAACTATCCACGATAAGTCCAAGATCTCTTTCCTGATTTGTCGTAGTCAAATTAGCCCCCATCATACTGTCCTTATAGTTGGGGTTATTTTTTCCAATGTGCATTACTTTACGCTTATCCACATTACATTTCATTTGCCATTTTGTTACCCAATCACTCAGTTTGGTGAGATCTTTTTGAAGTTCTTCACAGTCTACTTCTGTCTTGACTATCTTAAACAGTTTAGTATCATGGTTATTCTAGTAATAATAATAATAAAAAGAATAACAGCAACATTATTCTTAGTGGGCTGATTGAAATTGTAATGTAATGGAACAATGAACTGAAACTGGCATAAATTTCATAATGTTTTGATATTGCTGAATCTATAATTTGTTGAAAAAATGTTGGCCCAAAATATTTTTGTCCAGTTCCAACATACTAATAACTGGAACTATAATTTCTCACATTTTACTCTAGAAGCTGCTGGATACACATCTCCATCAACCAGTAACTCATCACTAACATGTTATCCATCAAGACATAAAATTGTAATGATACAGGTTCACTACTGAAATGTGTCATAGACAAATGTATCAATGGTGGTGCCATTTATAGTTGAGGTTACCTAACACTTTCCATGATAAGACCCAAATTTTAGTTGTTATTACTTTGCCAAATTTCAACCATTAAGGCTCCAATCCTTTTGTGCCAGAAACTGATGTATTTTGGTAAGTTTCAACTGAAACATTTCAGCTGTTTCACAAATAAGTTTAAGGAAAACATGTTCTGTGCAGGTTAAACATTCTTCCACATGTCTGAATTGCTCCTTTGCCTCATGATTCAGTGTGGGGATTTGGAAAATGGCAAAAGGATGTTCATTTTACTATTCCTTTGAAAATTCACCATAGATGTTTAGTTACGCTTCTGTTATCTTTTTGCAGGAACATTGCAATCCACTCCATCATGGCCCCAATATATAACAACTGGTAGGTGCTAACTCATTCTGCTTTCACTAATATGTTTTTCTCTGATAGGGTTCTGCACTAAAAATGTTTGGAAACTCAAGTCTACGGTTTTATAGTAGAATTACCACATGAACTACAATGACAGAAAAGACAGGTAGCATAGCAATACAAATGACAAATTTCAAATGATCTACAGGCAATAAACATTTCTCAGTACATTTGTTGAACCGTATAGGTCCATTGCAAACTTCTGCTCTTGCATGTTTTACTTGCATAATACTCAGTTTTGGAGACCAAATATAATTTTTTTTAATTCATCCAACTGTCTCATTTCAATTCCCTCAATCCAAGCATCTAAAATAAATAATTCCCCAGGACACAGTCTATGAGTCTGTCCGCATTTAAGATAGGTCTCTCATACCTGTGGTTATTCTGAACGTGCGGTTGCCATGTTCCAGTAAGTGTGAAGAATTTGCAAGCGTATCACGAACGAATTCTTCCAGCTTTTTCACTGAGGAGTTCTGTTAACTCAATATTTTGGAGTGGGGATTTGGTAAAGGGGATGTTTATTTTGCCATCCCTGTGAAAATTCACCATAGAACTCTAGTTTTGCTTCTGTTCTCTTCCTTCAGGAAGACCAGGATACAACTCATTATGGCCTTGGTACACAACTACTGGTAAGTGCTAACTCATTCTGCTTTCACTAATATGTTTTTCTCTGATAGGGTTCTGCACTAAAAATGTTTGGAAACTCAAGTCTATGGTTTTATAGTAGAATTACTACATGAACTAAAATGACAGAAAAGACAGGTAGCATAGCAATTCAAATGACAAATTTCAAATGTTCTACAGGCAATAAACATTTCTCTGTACATTTGTTGAACTGTATAGGTCCATTGCACACTTCTGCTCTTGCATGTTTTACCCGCATAATACTCAGTTTTGGAGACCAAATATAATTTTCTTTAATTCATCCAACTGTCTCTCACTTCAGTTCCTTTAATCCAAACATCTAAATAAATCATTCCCCAGGACACAGTCTATGGGACCGTCCTCATTTAGGATTGGTCTCTCATACCTGTGGTTATTCTGAACATGTGGTTGCCATCTGTTCCAGTAAGTGTGAAGAATTTACAAGTGTCTCACAAAAGAATTCTTCCAACTTTTTCACTGAGGAGTTCCGTTAACTCAATATTTTGGAGTGGGGATTTGGTAAATGGGATGTTTATTTTGCCATCCCTGTGAAAATTCACCATAGAGCTCTAGTTTTGCTTCTGTTCTCTTCCTTCAGGAAGACCAGGATACAACTCATTATGGCCTTGGTACACAACTACTGGTAAGTGCTAACTCATTCTGCTTTCACTAATATGTTTTTCTCTGGTAGGGTTCTGCACTAAAAATGTTTGGAAACTCAAGCCTATGGTTTTATAGTAGAATTACTACATGAACTAAAATGACAGAAAAGACAGGTAGCATAGCAATTCAAATGACAAATTTCAAATGTTCTACAGGCAATAAACATTTCTCTGTACATTTGTTGAACTGTATAGGTCCATTGCACACTTCTGCTCTTGCATGTTTTACCTGCATAATACTCAGAGCTCTAGTTTTGCTTCTGTTCTCTTCCTGCAGGAAGACCAGGATACAACTCATTATGGCCTTGGTACATAACTACTGGTGAGTGCTAACTCCTTTGGGCTTTACTAATATGTTTTTCTCCTATGGGAGTCTGTTTTAGAGATATTTGGATTCTTAATTAGCTCATAGTTTTATAATGCCGTTGCCACAAGAACTGAAATGAGAGCAAGGAAAAATTGAAATAGCAATTTAAAGGACTAAATATCAAAACTGGTTCAGGCCATAAAGCTTTTTTGGTACGGTTGTTGAATTGCTCTCTTGTGTTCTGCCATCTTCTAATACCCTGTCATGATTCTGTGCTTACCCTGTGGAGAAAAGAGGAGAATGTGTATATCCATCCCCAATTCTGGAGAAGAGAGGAGAATGTGTATATCCATCCCCAATCTCAGTTTGCAGCTGTTGGCATATGGTAGGATTACAGTGCTAAATTACATGAATGCAGAGGTGAGGAATAGAACTGACTCCCAGGGCCCATGTCATTTCCATAACACTACGCTTTCTTCAGATTTTTGCTCCCTATACAGTACTTACTCATCTCTCAACAGGTTGTGGCTGAAAAACAAGAATTCCAGCTTGGATAATAATTCTGAGGCTTTAAAATTTGTTTTATTCTGCATAAGATCACCACCAACAAAAAAGAACACAAGACCTATATGTGTGTCCCCAACAATATAATATTTTTTCTAATTCTTCTCCTTTTCATATGTGTTCCTTACAAACACAAATTTGATTATAGACCTTATAGCACATAAGAGACAAATTTGATTATAGACCTTATAGCACATAAAGCTGTGCATTAAGTAAATATTGTGATGTTCCAAAATTGGCTGCAGATGCTATTTTCATTCAGGCTGTAATTTTTGTCCCTCATGTAAAATGTATTTTAAAAAATTTACTTCCAGTCTGACTTAAGAATCTAATGTCAACAGAGGAAAAAAGGCAAATTCTTTCTTCCCTGAACATTTTTCTTGGCCCATATTTTCTATCTTCAGCTATATCCATTTAGCGCCTAATCTTGAGAGGTGCTGAGCATTGAATGAGAATGAATGAACTCCACAGATCTTAGGAACAGATCCTGATCAGAAACCACCTTTTATAAAGACCAATGGAGTTATGAGAGGTTTTCCTTTAACTTTAGTAGGTTTTGTCTCTGGCTGATAAATCATATTATACATGTTGAACCTCCGAAATCCAGGATTCTCTGGTTCGATAGGACCATGGATGTTGCTAGATCTGAGATCCCTGGTTCCTGGGAGTGTGAATCCTGTCCCTGGGCAGCCTGGGTTGAGTGGGAAAGAAGCAGGGTCACGCAGCTGGGGAGCTCCATCCCCAGGGAGCCCCAGCCAGGCAGGGCAGCAGTGGGACCAGCAAGTCCCATTCCCTGCAGGGATCCCCGGTTGAATGTGGGAGAAACGGGGCCACAGCTGGGGATCTCCATCCTAGGGAGTCCTGGCTGGGCACAGCAGTGGGACCGGGGAGTGGCAAAAGCTGGGCAACTGGCAACCCCTGTCCCCAGGGATCCCCTGTCCTCCGGGATAGAAGCGGGGCCATAGCAGCTGGGGAGCTCTATCCTGGAGATCCCCAGAAGGACTGAGCCCAAGTCCAAGCTCTGCTGACTGGAGCCTAGTGACAGTGGAACCAGAGCCGAGCCAACTGCAAGGAGAGGGAGTGTCCTGGAAGTCAGTGGTAGGGATGGGTCAGGTCATTTGGGATGGGTCAGGTCCCGAGGATGCATGACAAGGGAGGTCCAACCTGTACAAATATACACCTATATAAATGACTCGTATGTATTGTCTTTTCTTACATTTGATTCTGCAGCAAGATACACTTGTGGTGATGTCCTTCAGTATTCCTCTGGGACTTTTCATAGCCCATTCTATCCTGGAAATTATCCAAACAATGCAGATTGTGTGTGGGAATTGGAAGCCGAGAGTAATTACCGTGTAACACTTTCCTTTATAGATATGTCGTAAGTAAATCACTAATTTCCTGGGCAATTCATGGGTTCATAGTCATGGATTTTTCAAGTTGGTACCCTCTGCATTTGAAGGATGTTTTTCAACAGGATTATTTCTTCATGCAGCGCACAGTCAACCTGTGGAACTCCTTGCCAGAGGATGTTGTAAAGACCAGGACTTCAACATTGTTAAAAAAAAAGAACTAGATAAATTCTTGGAGGTTAGGTCCATCAATACTCATTAGCCTCTGTTTGTTACAGGCTGGAAATGGATGACAGGAGAAGGATCACTTGATAACTATCAACCTGTTCTGTTCACTCCCTCTGGGGCTTCTGTCATTGGCCACTGTCTGCAGACAGGCTATTGAGCTAGATGGATCTTTGGTCTGACCCAGTATGGCCGTACTTCTGTTCTTATGACTTAACTGTTTTAAGGGACCAGGAAACCTAAGATGAAAATTGCAATGAATGGAATGTTATTTGTTGTTATTTATTGAGTCAGAACAAAGTGGTTGGTACTGTGACAAGGACAGGCCAGAGGGCTGCTACGGGGAAGGGGGTGGGAGGGAGGAAAGGCAGTCCAAACAGGATAAAAGGCCTGCTTATTAGAGGTAGGTGGGTGGCTGCAGGACAGTTAGGATCAGCTGTCAGCAGGGGCGGCCTGTGAGCGTAGGCAGACTCGGCGGTCGCCTAGGGCGCTGCTGGCCCGGGGCACTCGATGATGTAGATTAGGCACGTCAAAATTGCTAATGAAGTGGGGATTTAAATATCCCGCGCTTTATTAGCATAAACATGGCCACCGCTTTTTTTTTTAAATGGAGCTTTAAAAAAAACCAAACAAACAAACCAGGCAAGCTGACTCCACTTCAGACCTGCCAAAGACCTGCTGGAGACCTACAAAAGGATCTCAAGTTAAAAGGTGGTAGTGGGGAGTGGGAGGAGAGAAAGAGAGGCAGAGGACAGAAGGGGAGTGGGAGTGGGAGTGAAATAGAGACATACTCATACAAAGTACCAACAGTTAAAGAGCTAGACAGCAGAGAAGGGAGTCCCAAAAGGAGTAGCTGGACTCCCTACCTGGAAATCAGCAGAAAACCCAACCCTTGGCAAAGGGGGAAGGCGGCCAGCCCAAACACTGGCCAGGGACAGAACAAGATGCAAATGATGGCAATCTTTGCCATTAACACTTTGCAGTCCAAAGGGTTTAATCTGAGATTTCTGAGCTGCTCTGTGATGAATATCTAAATAGGAATTTACAAAATAGTTTACAAAATGTTCATGTTTATTTCCCAGGATTCAAGGTGGTGGATGCCAATATGATTATATTGAGATATATGATGGAGCACTCTACACTTCTCCTTTATTGGGGAAAATTTGTTACAATTCGAATCTTACATATACATCATCCTCAAACTTGATGACAGTTCGCTTCCACAGTGACTCAAGTTTCACAAACAGAGGGTTTCATGCTGACTACTACACCATTCCAGCAGATCAGAATACTAGTAAGTTCATGTTTAATGCAGGATGTTTTGTTTTTCAGCAGACATGTCCACTTATTTATTTGTATTTGCTAAATAACCATTGATTAATGTTCAACCACCTCAGTAAAATACCATTCACTGTTATCTTTCACAGTGTGTGATTACTGGCCTTTTACTTTCAGACAGTTTGATTTTTTTTTAAAGATAAAACTTTGTTGTTATCAAATTATTTCGGACATTTTCTCTGATATTCAGCCTAAATTAACCTTTCCATCATCTCATCTTAATACTCTTACTTATGGCCCCTTGTACAACCTAATTACTCATTCTCTTTGGGTCTGATCCTAGTCCTGATGCAGGCAAAACTCTCATTGCAATCACCCTCCTTCATACAATATAAGTCAATGTCATTTGCTCTTCCCATTCATTAGCTATGATTTATTTGAGCTCACAGCCTGTTTAGCACTGTACTGATGCATGTTTAGTATTATAATTATTTACAGTTAAATTCATTCCCTCCAATTCCTTTTCCAGGTTTTGATGCTCTTCCCTGAATCCCCTGCAATTTGTCCACATCTTCAGAGGTGCCCATATGTGACCTTGAACACCTTTCATAGCCATTCAAAGCCTGATCCTTAAGTCCTCATTCAGCCAAAATTCCTATTCATTTCAATCTGCCTTATGCCCAGGAAGAGACTATACAGGATCCAATCCTCTATGAATGACTATCACTTTGACATTAACAGTTGTGAGTCCGCCTCTTATGAACAGTCTTCTCTCTCTCACCATACACAACGTGTAGATATCAGTATATTTAGAGGTTGAACATTTCATTACTATTTTATGCCTGAATGTGTTAATAATATGTACTTTATCCACCTCCCAGCTCTTCGGTGTCTGCCAGAATACATGCACATAGTTGTTAACAGAGCCTATCTCCAGTCGCAAGGCTACGTTTCAGATAATGTCAGCTTGATTGACCCTTCTTGTAAACCAAAGATTACAACAAGCTATATTACATTCAACATACCATACAGTGGCTGTGGCACAAGGCGAGAGGTATGAAGCTGAATATTTAATTAAGAGGGTGAAAAGGGGCTCTGGGTAAACTACGCCATTCATTTTGAAAAGGGTCATGAATGGAAACATGGGCTTTGGTTCACAGGAACTACAAGTGAGCCAATGGCTGCATGTTCAGATTAACTGACCACTCCCACCTATTCTTCCCCTGCCTGCAGGGAACACGGTACGGGGAATATTGTGGGCCAGGGAGATACGTGAAGAATCTCCACCCGTGTTCACAGACTTTTGTTGAGTATGAGCTGATGTTCTTGAATAGCCAAAACACTTTGCACTTACTTAGGCCCCAGTTTAGTAAGGCAGTTACACATGTCTAATTTAAAGCATTTACTTCAGTAGCACTACTCATGTGTGTTAAGTTAGTGTTCAGTACCTTACTAAATCAGGATCTTTGTGCATTTCATGTTCAGCCTTTGTACTAATGTGAACTAACGTGGCTGTATTTGAGTTGAAAGAAAATATTTGTCACATCTTAGTATAATCACCATAGCGTACAGCCAGTAATATTCTTTAAAAAGTGTAGTGAGTAGAAAGGACCAAAGTCACATTTGTTTTCAAAGTACTGCCAGTAGAAGCAATGCTTTTAAAATGTGTTATTCTTGGGTGCATCAAAAGCTTAGCAAACCTAATGGTAATTATGACCTCGGGCAAAAAAAATGGCCATGCTAGCTAATTCTATATTTAATGTGTCAAACAGGGGAACAGCAATACTATCATGTATTCCAACTTGATCAAAGCAACCTCTTCCGGTTATGGAATCAAAAGGCAAAAAGATCTTTACTTGCACATCAACTGCAAAATGCTCCAAAACACTTGGAAGGAAATAATGTATAATGCTGAGGATTATAATGAGGTCAATGAAACACAGTACAGCAGATATAATGTGAACATTTCATTATATGAATCGCCATCCTTCTCACGGCCAGTGACTGACTTTCCATACTATGTTGACCTGAACCAGAACTTATTCCTTCAAGCTTCAATTAACAGTTCTGACCCAAATCTGGTGTTGTTTTTGGACACTTGTGTTGCATCACCTGATCCCAATGATTTTACAACAGCAACTTATGACATTATCAAGAGCGGGTAAGGACTTTTTCCACAATGGTTTACAATGGATCTATGCATGCAGTTCTGTATCTGTTTTATTTATGAAATAAATAGGGACATTGCGAGGTAATTTCAGTTCCCTATGCCAATAAAATGTTTGAAAACATTTTTAACCGATTCTGTCAAGAAATGAGAAATAACCATAGAAATGATGTTTAGACCCTGCAATCATGCAAGAGCAAATCCACTCAAGCATGTTATGTAGTAACTAGGGAGGTGAATTCAGTTGTGATGTAAGCACATTTTTATGGGCTTTTAATTTAAATAAATATTATTCAGCTTAAAATATTTTGACTTTTTCTGCACTGAATGATTTTATCATACTGTTTTTAAAAGGTTTGGTCTTAATACTTAATTTTTATCTTATGCAGCTAAATTCATTTCTAAATTCAACCATCTCAACCAGTGTTCCCTCTAAGATGCGCAACAGCGCAGCTTCACTGGTGATTAATCAGCCCCACTCCGTCAGAGGCTCAGGGCTCCCTGCATGAAGGTGACCCACTGTGTTAGGCTGATTAATCACCTGTGAAGCTATGCTGCAGCACAGCTTAGAGGGAACACTGATCCCAACTATGTATAGGTGAGACAAATATTGGCATGAATATAACAGAAGCAAGTAAAAACTATGATTATTATATAGATAGTTCATACCATGAGATCATTATTATGAGACTAAGATCATTAATTTTTTTTCTGTGAAACATGTTGACAATCTGGCAGCTCTGCATCTTATTCTGAGATAGTAGCTGTGTGATACCAGGTACACTGAGTTCCATTCTATGGTGGTTACACTGAATCAGAATGCATTGGCATGGGATATTGGCAGTGATCAACACTGACAGGAAAATACAGATTCAAATCTTGTTCTGTGATGCACCTGTGCATAGGGTGATCATCTGTCACCTTATTCCCCACTCTGCATGCTGTGGGGGTGAACTTCATCCCTGCAGTGGGGCAGGGTGGGCAGGCTACCTCGGCTACTCAGAGCTACAGCCACGGGAGCCCTGAGCCCTGGCAATTCCTCCCCTGCCCCCTGCAGGGCTGAAGCCCTGAATGCTGGTGGCTCCCCTCCCCCCTGGTGGGACTGCAGCCCAAGCACCAGCAGTGCCCCCTTTGAGCTAAAGTCCCAAGCACTGGCAGGCCCCCCCCCTTGGTGTCCCATATTCTGCATAGGGAAATATGGTCACCCTACCTATGCAATTGATGTATTAGCAATTGGGTTCACTGGAAACATTGACTTTCTTCCTTCTTCTATCCAAAGCAGAAATCAGAGGAGTGAGAGTCAGTTGGCTAAGATGGCACAGAATGGAAGAAGGATTTTATCATTATTATTGTTCATATCCAGTAGCTCTAGAAAACCCAAACAGGCACTAGGGGCCCCACCGTGTAACCATTTAGTAAAGAGACAGAGTCTGCCTTTCAAAACACAGCTAGTAGGGGAAAAAATGACAAGTTTTTGCCTGTTAAAAATCCAGCTGTTCATCACGGCTGAAATGTTTCATGGAGATGTATCAATTCTGAAAGAACTGTCATTTGGACATGTTTCTCAGCTAAGACAAAGAGTGAATCCCAGGTCAAGTGGTTAGGCTGTTCGGGTATGTCTACACTACAGCGCTATTTCGAATTAACCCTTAATTAGAAATAGTTAATTCGAATTAAGCTAATTCGAAATAACGCATCTAGACACAAAAACTATTTTGAAATAGTGTTTTGCTCTTTCGAAATAGCACATCCACACTGAGTGGACCCTGAACTGAAGTTAAGGCTGGCTGGAACCAGTGCCGGCAAGGCATCAGTTTAGGACTTAGTGTGGGGCTGCTGCCTGAGACAGTTCTCAGGGTTCCCCACTTGCTTGTCTACCTCAATGATGGACAGCAAAGCAGTCCTGTCTTGGAGTGCCCTGAGTGCCCGAACTCGGGACACCACAGCACTCGGCCACATGGAGCCAGAGCAGTCCCTGGGCATGCCGGTGCATTTCGTGGGGTCGTTGCTATCAGCCCAGCTGCACTTGCTGCAGGATGCCATCCAGGAGGTCCATCGAGGGGCTGTCAGGATCCAGGAGGCCCTGAGGGAGAGCATCCACCCCAAGGAGCCCTCAGAACCTCCCCGGTCCTCCCCACTGGTGGCTTGTGCCCCATTTCTCTCTCACATCCTTCCACTTACCCCTCCGTAGGCCCCCTTCAAATAAAAGACACGTATGTTCAAAAATAGAAATTGGGTTTATTGAACAAAACTGGGGGGGGGGGATGACCTCCTGAGGCTACGGGAGAAAGGAGGGGAAAACCTGGGAGGAGGGAACTAGAAGGGGGAAGCAAGGGAAGAAGAGGGAGGGGAAGCTCAGGGCTCAGGGTTGGGGGTCTTGCTGGACCAACCTGACCTTCATGCAAACCTGCTTCTGGGTTCATATGTGGCCCTTGGTGGCCAGACTGGCATAGACGACCGCAATCCTCCATCTAGTGTGGAGATCATGGACATTGGGGACCTTCCCCTCAAACCTGAATAAGGTCCATGATCTCCACCCTGGACCAGGAAGGCTCTCCTAGCTGAATTAGGGAAAGGAATATTGTATGTTTTGCTTTCAGACAAGTCACTGCCACTATTTTAAAATCTTTCATTTTCTACAATATTTTAAAGTCTTTCATTTTCATCTTACTACAAATACATATTTTTCTCCGTTTCTGTTAATGCATTTTTAAGTTATTAAAATCTTTGCCTATATGGCATTCTTCACGTTGGCAATTTATTTTTGTGGTTCTGTAAGCATGAAGACTAATTTTATTTATTTATTTATTTATTTATTTATTTATTTTAGGTGTGTTAGAGATCCTACTTTTGGTACATACTTTTCACCCTCCAGCTCCATCATACGGTTCAAATTCAATGCCTTCACATTTATTAACCAACATCCATCAGTTTACCTGCAGTGTAAAATGGCGGTGTGCAGGGTATATGATTATTCTTCCCGATGCTATCAAGGCTGTGTACCTAGGTCCAAGAGGGATACAAGCTCTTATCAGGAACAAGAGGCTGTTGTTGGGCCAATTCTGCTTCGGAGACATGGCACTAGGAACACGAATTCTGGTAAATGGAAATAATCTTCTCTTGAGTTTAGTATAATGGTCTGTAAATAACTTTACATTTCACTTCACAAAATCTTTGTGTATCAGTTTACTTCCAATTTCTAGCACAGTAGCTTTCTTTTACTTGTTTATCAACAACTCAATTATAAACTAATAGCATCTACAATAGTTCCTTATTTGCAAAATTCAAATCCACCATTTTAATCTGCACATCTAAAAAATGCTACTCGAATTAGTTCTTCAGAAAGAAAGATGAGATGCAATCCATGTCCTTACTATAGATTCATTGATTTAATTATCCGCAAACTGTTAGGCTGTGTCTACACTGGGCCACTTATTCCGGAAAATCAGCCGCTTTTCCGGAATAAGCTGTGAGCTGTCTACACTGGCCCTTGAATTTCCGGAAAAGCAACGATGCTCTACTGTACAAAATCAGCCGCTATTCCGGAAAAACTATTCTGCTCCCACTCGGGCATAAGTCCTTATTCTGGAACACTGTTCCGGAAAAGGGCCAGTGTAGACAGCCCAGTAGTCTTTTCTGGAAAAAAGCCCAGATCGCGAAAATGGCGATCGGGGCTCTTTTCCGGAAAAGCGCGTTTACATTGGCCACAGATGCTCTACCGGAAAAAGGGCTTTTCTGGAAAAGCAGCCTGCCAATGTAGATGCTCCTTCTCCGGAAAAACTGAAAACGGAATAGTATTCCATTTTAAGCATTTCCGGAAATTCATGCCAGTGTAGACACAGCCTTAAAGTATTGTGATTGGCGTGCCTAGGCTTGAACATCTCCAGTTAAGTGAACCCCTAACCTTTCTTGAAAACATTTTCTACTCCCTAACTCTTCTGATAATATTGAACCTAAAATGGCCCTGTTCATTAAATAATCTTTGCTAATACAAAGATGGATCGATGTTTACAATGTCATGCATGAAATAGAGTGAAACTGATTTACCTGACCTGATCTAGAATGATCTATGAATTGTATTTCCTGACCTGATCTAGAATGCAACATTTTTAATTCAAGTTCTCTTGTCCTGATATCTTTGGCAATGACTAGAACAGGGAACAAATTGTAACAGACTTTCTCTTGATTCACAGAGGTGGACTATTCTGGACATCAGGAATACACGGATTCTCATGGGGTTTTTATTGGAAGAGACTCCATACCAGATAATGTGAGATAGTAAAAGCACCAGTGTCTGGCAGCCAGTGCTATCTCAGGCCATGTACCTAATTATTCTGTTTCTAGACTTTGCACTCAATAACTTTTACATGACAATTTGTGCTTCACAGAAAAAGTATGAAAAACTTGCTTTAATAAGTTTACCCTCAGAGTCTACCCTCTGAGTTCTGATAAATTCAGGCTAGAGATGGGCCTGAGGTTATGACCCTACATTCAAGTAATATGGAAAGTTAGGAAAAGTTTGAATCGAGGTCCCAACTCCCCAACCAGCTGCCATTTCCAATAATGGACTGAATCCCTGTCTAATATCTGACTCACCAGCTCCCTCCTCTTAGCCTAGAACCAGACATTGCAGTTCAAGACTCACTCTAGTCTAGATAAACCAAAACTATTGTACCACTGTTTTCATGGTATTTTGCAGTGAGATTTGATAAAACAACTCATGTAATCCTTAGAAAACAACAAATGTGTGTGGAGGAAGAATGATCCAGAGGTTAGAGCACTAACTTGGGTGTGAGTAACAGTCACCACAAACTGCTTGTGGCCCTGGCTGAGTCATTGTGGACCTTAGTTCCCCATCTATAAAATGGGGATAACAGCACTTCCCTACCTCTCACGGGTGCTGTTCAGATATTACCATGAAGGGAGATTTATGAGTACCTAAGATCATTAGCTAGTACTGTGAGTTGGCAACTTTTTACATGAAAAGGGCACTC